AATTCGCCATTCCTCAAAACATTGTGAAAGTGGGTCGAATTATTTTGCCATACAATAATATAGAAGAAACGGTTAGTGAGAATTTTTAAAGATTTTTACTCAAACATAGCAAGAAAAATATATGATACTTTAATATTGCCGGAAGTACATTTTCTGACAGATGTTGAACGCATGATTTTGCAGGTTTCTTTCTTCTGCTGCCCTACGTCATTATCATACATTGTTTATTAGCTCTTTTTCGATATTCACGCAAAGCTACTCGAGGATTATCTGAGCTAGCCCTCCCTAATTTAGCAGTGAAGTCATCACCTCTCACCGCCAACTCTTGGGATTGACTAGCTACCATAATAGTCTCTTAGAATGAAATATATATATATATATTCATTCCAAGTTTATAATTTGAGAAAAATAGGAAGATATACAAATACCTTGAAAGTTTTGCTATTCATGTGCGTATTTTTTATTAAGATACCACATTTTGACTACCGCTCTGTACTGCGTATTGTATGAAAATAGTAAAGAATATAAAATACTTACTTCCCGAAGATCTTTCAAAGCATTTCACGTACAAAAGATATATATTATTTAAAGTTATGTTTTAGTAAACCAAATACACAGGCACCTAATGTACTGTTGCAATAAAGAGTAAAACTTTTTACAACTGTTATATCTGTTATAAATATATTGCGCTTGCTGTAGGACCATGCAAGCTAATGGAACGTACAATTACACACCTTCTCCTACGGAAGCGTATCCGTCCTTGTTTAAAGAGATTACAAAGTTGTTACATGTAATTTGCTATAGATAATATTCTGAATTTATTTCACAATTATTCGATAATTTCTTAAGCTCTCGTTCCCGTTTATTGTAAAATTAGCCTATAACCCCCCCCCAATCATAAAATAATTTTCTCCACATGGTGATAACAATAATACAGTGACATCATTTGTTTGAATTCAGTTCTCCAATGTCTGAAATTGTTTAAATAAATTTCTATAAACGTTGATAAGTTGTCACTGTTAACATCTAAACAGTGTCTATGTCTGCGGAATATGTGAAGTGATTCTTGTTGATTATTTCATTATAAGGTTTAGTTTTCATTATTCAGATAAAAAATAAGTTTGTGGAGATATTTTTATACTCTTGAAAATAGTGTAAAAATGCTCAATGATAACTATTAGAAGGAATATTTAGCGTGTCGGACTATTGATCTCCGAGTTGCAAATTCATGTCCCGTTACCGCGAAAACATAAATAAAAAATCACGCTCTGCACTTTGGGCCCATGGGTGCGTTATAAGGGTGACAGCCAAATCGCACTTTTCGGTCAACCATGAGTAGCCCAAGAGTTGGCAGTGGGTACTGTTAACTAACTGTCTTCCCTCTAGTCTATTAATTCAAAATTAGGGACGGCTAGCGCAGATAACCCTCGAGTAGCTTTGAGTGAATATCGAAAAAGAGCTAATAAACAAAGTATGATAATGACGTAGGGCAGCAGAAGAAAGAAACCTGCAAAATCATGCGTTCAACATCTCTCAGAAAATGTACTGCCGGCAATATTAAAGTATCATATATTTTTCTTGTTATGTTTGAGAAAAACTATTTAAAAAATGTATTTTCTTAAAATATAAAGTGATTTAGTGTTCTTATAAAACTCAAGATTTTATAACCAGTTTACATTCTACAAAAATACATACTTCCTAAGAAATACACAAATCAACAAATCACTATTAGTTATGGAATAGAAGTGTACTGCAAGATTAAGTGACTTCGTCTAAGATGATAAAATATAATTCTTAAGTAATGAAATTAGGATCTATTTTGTCATAAATATTCCAGACTTCTTTACATAATTTTATTTAGTTATCTATCTATATTAATCAGGTGAGTATAATTCGCCATTCCTCAAAACATTGTGAAAGTGGGTCGAATTATTTTGCCATACAATAATATTGAAGAAACGGTTAGTGAGAATCGTCATTATAATTTCTAGCGTTGTATTAGTAACTTTACTTAACTGATTTATTAGTCTCAAGTTATATTGTCTTGTATTTAATCTTTATTGTCAAACAAGGCGGGACATATGACGTTCGTGATTAGCGGTGTCGTCACTCAGTAACTCGCTTCATGTTACACGAGACTTCCAAATTTAATAATGAACTCATTTAGTTTCATTTTGATCTTGATCAGGAATTAGGGGTTTTAGTTAAGATGTAATAAATCGTAGGGATTCCTAAACTGTATATAATTCTTCTTTCTATATGCGCGAAATTCAAAAAACAAACAAACATATTGTGGTAGATATGTTTATTAAATGATTGCTAAAATATGGTACTCTAAGCCTTGTAACCAAAACCTTTGTGTGAAAATGTTTCTTTACTAAGTTTAAGTAATCAGATCTACCATCTTACTTTGATACATCTATTATTATTATGGAACGAACAATATTGAAATGTCAATGGGTTTGTGGCATACACTATGTAGACAGAAGAATTGCGAGTATATGTACAAGTTGTTATTTTATTGACAAAAAACACAATTACCGAACGCAAACTTAAATCGTAAGAAAATGTATATCTAAGTGACAGCGTAATAGAAAAACTACTCAGTTTTTGTTGTTGGTGGTGATTCCGCTTTAGTGAAATTATTTCTTTATTAGTATAGAAAAACCGTTAAAACATTTCCTATCGTTTAGTTGATATTTTGCCATAGAAACTATTATTTTTGTTGTTTTAGTTCCTCCTGACCAACTGACAATAAACGGAAGAGCAGCATACGATGTTTTAAAAGTCCATAGAGGCGAGAGAATCACTCTGGCTTGTAGTGCACAAGGAAGCAAGCCACCCGTTAAGCTCAAATGGTATAGAAACAATATCCAATTATTAACAGGTAGGTAAATCACGTATAGTTGTTTTTCAATCAAGAAAGCCACCCGTTCAGCTCAAATTGTATAGGGACAATACCCAATTATTAGTAAGTAGGTACAAATTGCGTATATTAGTTTTTTATTCAAGTAAGCCACCCGGTCACTTCAAATGGTATAGGAACAATATCAAATTATTAGCAGGTAAGTACAAATCACGTATAGCAACTATACATAACTTGTACTTACCTGCTAATAATTTGACATTGTTCCTATACCATTTGAGGTGACCGGGTGGCTTACTTGAATAAAAAACTTTTTTTTATTCGATCTTCCACATTCTATATGTATCTGTAATCATACTTGGTATTTATTGAATTCAGATGTGCATCTCTTTTTACAGCACTTAGTAAGTAAATAAGATACTTTGGTTTATTTATTTATAGAATGGCTGCTTTACCAAGACTGTTCGAAACTATTTACTGCTATTATAAATTTTCACTTTTACTTGTTATATAATTTTTGTTGTTGTTGTTGTTGCTCTTTTCAGAATCAGAAGATATTCGACAGGAAGAAAATAAACTCTTTACTACATTAAGAACGATTTTGCTATATCCTTCTTTGGATGACAATGACGCCATCTATGTTTGTGAAGCCGTCCATCCTGCCATGCCAGAACCATGGAAAACTTCTGTCACCATAAGTGTCCTTTGTAAGCTTTCTGTCCGTAATTATTTTCCATTTTCAACGTAGCTGTAATCTGAAAGTTACTTTGTAATTAACAATTATGAAAACTTAATTATTTTATAGAATATTTTTCTTTTTTTATAAATAATTTGCTTTTCTTAATTTTAAGACGAGAAGCTAAACAATTTGCACAATTAATTTTACATTTTATTATCACCTAAGGTGTAAAACTATTTTCAACATGCAAATTGAGCAGTTATACCAGATATGACTGTTAGGTAGGGGTAAACCGTTTACAGACGTACTAACGTCTGAAATCTTAGATAAGTTTTCTGTAGTCTAAAATAAATCTTGATTTCTTTTAAGATATTTTTGTATTTTGTACACTCACATTGTTAAACTTTGAATGTTTCGGTAACTTTGAAAAAGAAATAACGCGTATATAATTTCAGATTGGTGAAATATAAAATGTTCTTACTTTTCCAGATCCACCCGAAACACCTATTATAACTGGGTATTCAAGAAAAAGTATAATTAAAAAAGGTGATATTGTTTCCTTAACGTGCATTTCCAAAGGAGGAAACCCGCCTGCTCAATTACGTTGGTTTCGATATAATGTGTCCCTGAATGGAAACTACAACTATAATAACAGTATAGCTGCAAGCATATTAACCTTCACTGCAACAGCAGACGATAACAGCGCCACCTATCGCTGTGAAGCGATTAGCAAAGTAATGGATAAACCGTTATCCACATCGATAATCCTTTCCGTCCACTGTATGTAATTTATTTCCTTTAACGTTTACTTTATCATGCTATTTTTAATTTTAAAATTCATTTATAAAACAGGTAATTAGCTTTGTTAAATCTCATCGCTATCTTATCTTTCACACGAAGAAGATAAAGGTTAATGTGTATACAGGAATTCAACAAACTAACTAATAAAATAATGAAAATAGATAACATTTTGAAGGAAAACTTTATATTTTTCCGCTTCATTTTACGTACAGCTCAAATTAGACTCTTTCTATAATTAGGTAAGAACTCGTATTAAAAATGTTATGGATTATCTATGCAAAATGAGTTTGTATTTTTGTATTTAAGGCAAAGATGCTTATGTGATTTGTTGCCGTTCCTAATTATGAATTATTCACCAGAATGAAGGCAGCTGGTCAGCAGTACACTGCTACCTACCATCCATAACAAGGCGTTGACTATTACACTTATAAATGCACCCGTATATTAAAGCACGGGGACAACACGGATTCGAATTCGGTTCGTCAGCTCCGAAAGTCAAAACTTCACCTCAGGGCCAACCCGAGCTCATCAAAATGAAAATTCATTCTCAAATTTAAAAGTGAAAAAAAATCGTAGTCTCCTCTTTGTCTACATTTACCAATGAAGCAAATAACAAATCTTAAACTTTATCGATACTTCAATAAAAGCTGATTACTCAACTTGGTTTTTATGTTATGGTTTCTATAAAGATGAAACATTAAATACAGTAATAAGATGTATGAAATACCTCAGAAAAGCTATCTCCTTGAAGCAGGGATAATATCGTCTCTTAAATTATGTAACTAAAGAATTTTAATAAGTATCAACTCTGATATTGATCTTATTCGAGTAAATATTTATTTAGCTATAGCTCAAGCAGGTATACTTATGCATTTTATTCTCATACCGCTTGCATGATATCTCATGGTGAAAAGACATAAAAAACTAAGTTCAGCACAGAAGTAAAATAATTCAATACATTAGTGATTCTATAACTTTTTTACTTACAAAAAATTTAGATAAACTATTTCCAATACATAGTTAACATTTGCTACTTCAGCATCACTACTGAAGATTTTTTTCTAAGTAATATTCATATTAAATCACTTAATTATAAATAATTAGATTTATAAAAAGATATTATATATATATATATTTCAATAATCAATTCCTTTTAGTTCCACCAGAAGGAGTTTATGTAACTGGACCGGCTGAAGCTAGGAGAGGAGACATTGTTACTGTTACCTGTACCACCTCTCCTAGTAATCCTGTACCTAAAGTTAGGTGGCGAATAAATGGAATGTATATCGTTGGCGACGAAGAGTATACCACAGAAACAGCTGAGGGATGGGTCATCAAATCTAAGATCACTGTTTCCCTCACCAGGCAGGTAAATTCTCCAACTATTAACAGAAAAAAGATGACACAATAATCCTTAAACCTTCAACATGAATTACATTGAAAAATATGACACAATAATCCTTAAACTTTCTACATAAATTACATTGAAAAAGATGATACAATAATCCTTAAACTTTCTACACGAATTACATTGAAAAAGATGATACAATAATCCTTAAACCTTCTATATGAATTACATTGAAAAAGATGACACAATAATCCTTAAACCTTCTGGATGAATTACATTTTATTAGCTACATCTACCCAAATCAAAATAAAGTGCGGTGTAAACTGGGTAATCTAAGCAAAGATGTGTGTGTTTTATTTATTTGTTCATTGAACTTTTGTCAATAGTTAGCTAATTAACATGAAATTATGAGATATCCGTAACTTTTTCAGTTTCCCAGAGGAGACTAAAAAAGAGACTATATTCGACAAGCGTAGCACTTTACCTATGTGTTGAATAATCAAAATTATGGAAAACAAATTACACATTAACATACCTCATATGATACCTTTGACAAATTTGTTGTTGGTGGTGTATGATTATTAACCTACCATCAGAGGGCTCTGAAAGAAAGTCATTTGTGTTAATGGTAATTATCTATAATTATCTGTAAAGCTTTGAAAAAACTTACGTAATTCTTTGTATTTGCATTGACGCAAGTTAATTTTTTTTTCTGACTATAAAACTTGATGCATAAAAAATTTTAGAATTTAATTAATCTTATAGCTTTTTGGTAAATTGAACTGATCTTATAGCTTTTCAGTACGTATTGTTATTGATATTTAATTTCATACAGAGAAGAAGAACAAAAAGATTTTATTGCCCTTTAGTTTGGTCAAAGTATATAAATATAATGGTAAATTCAAAGCCTTGTTGAAGTTCAATTAAGGATTTAGAAAATGTCTTCTAACAAATACAGTGTAATAATTTAATTTTGTATACATTATTTACAAATGACTTGAATATGTAGATATCATATATAGCAAACAGCCATCAAGCCCAAACTTCAACTTTATAATATTGCTAAATAAAATGTATTTTTCAGAATTTATAGTTTTCTATTATGTTATTTTACGCTTATTTTAATTTCGCATGATTTAATATTGTGAGTGATAGTATGGTTAAATATATATATATATATTGAATATTTTAGGATGCTGACGCTAAGAATATTATTTGTCGAGCTGGAGACGATGATATTGGATACAGCAATGGAAGTTTACAGATCAAAGTTACATGTAAGGATAACATATTTATATTTATGTATGATGAAGCTTTCATATAACTAATTAATGTTTCATATTGAATTAATTTCATCATAGTAATAATTTATTTACGATTGACACCGGTATTTTATTATAATCACTTCGTGAACATGAATGAAAAAACAACGACAATATCGTCATAGAAAACAAACAGTCCATCAGATTGTGAAAATTTAACCCTAAAAAAATAATAATGACATTATTTAAATAGTCACACTGCCCTGGCATAATAAAATAAGCAGTTTTGCTATAGTGTTGATATTGATTATATCAAACACAAAATTGATTAAAAATAGCCAATACATATTTAGTCTTCTTAGGCATAACTGTAATTTCATATAAAAAAACATGCCTATTTTTGTATATTTTTACTTAACAGAATGACGCTGTCAGTGGGAGCATAAAATAATAGGTTTATCTCACACGAAACATATCGTTTGATTTAGGTAGATGCGAGCATAAATAAATGCATAATCCCACTGAAGGTTTTCTAAACCATTAAATGCTAGAATTTATCTTTCCACAAGTCTTTCATCGACAACCGTACTAGTTTTGCTTTTTAATTCATTTGATAGTTAGCAGTTTGTTTGCAAGTTTCAAGTTTAAAAAACCTTCTAACTAATCTTTTATCTGCCATGAACTGAATCTTAGAATCAAACACCATTAAAGAACAATTTTGGAGCTAGATTATAACTATATTTAATTATAAATGTTTATTTCTTGTAGAAAAAAAGAAAAAAGACAATCAAAATATTCTATTGCGTTAAGTTTTACAGACTTAAATTATTACTTTAATTAATATTACACATTTGTGATTTAGAAACAAGGGAAGCCCTAATAAAACTCATGTGTAATAATTACGAAGGAGCTCGATTCATTTTTCACCTATTATGACGTAATGAGTATATTTAAGGTTCCTTACCGACTGGAAACCTGGAACATTGTAAATTAGTATATACGTATATACTGTACTGTTTGGCCGAAAATGATAAAAAAGTAACGTAAAAATTTAAAATTTAGTCTACAATATATGCAATTTGAAATGGTTATGTGACATTAGAGTGGGTGCCCGTTCAACAGGCTCTCTTCTTTTAAGGTAGTGAGTGAACTAACCAGGTTGTCTATTAAGATAGTCTCCTGGGCATTTCTGGAATTGTAAAGTTTGCATAAAATCACTTCCGAAAAGCTCAACTTTGGTCACAAGAGAATCATAATGGATTTAACCCGTAGACATCCGCAACTTGCTGTGACAAGAAACATATGTATTATAGTGGCTCAATTAATAGAAACCAGCAGTAATATGCAGGACACGTTGCATTTTGGACTTGGTAGCAGGGCAGCTTTGCAACAAACTCCATTTCAGAGCAATGAAGAAGAAAGCTCACCTGCAGTGCTACCTGGGCCAATGATACAAAAGATGATGATGACAAAACCTTGTACATTTTCTGTTATGTTAAACTTATATAAAAGATTTTCTTCATTACCCATTTAAGCCGTCTCCAACCATATATTAGTCTCAAACTGGGTTCATCGTCATCGAAAAAGATGGAAGGATTTGATTGTGGCAGAGGGCTCATGAAATGCTGTACCCCTCATTTATAGCTGCAACAACTCAGGCTGCTGTAGGAAATGTCATGATCTTGATATGTTTAGCTGGCATGATCGTGGTTTCCTCATCCCATAGCAAGATCAGGTGACATCTTGTGAATGCTTCAGTATTGTAGCAGATATTATTCTTTTCCCAATGTTAATTCTGGGTAAGGATGAGAATGAAAGTTTCAGGACAACAATGCCACTATCCATTACGCCTGAATGGTGCAGGATTGGTTTGTAGAACATAACAGTGTCTTTACACATCTACTTTGGGCAGTCCAATGTCATGATATTAGTTATATTGTGCATCTGTGCAATGTCTCAGAACTATGCCTCAGAATCAGTTTTCCCTTTGTTCTAACGACACATTTCTTATGCATCAATGGTTGCAAGTACCACACGATATCTTGTGGCATCTTGTCCAGTCCAAATCACGACGAAATGAAGCTGTCAGTTAGACTAAAGGATGGTCGTACTCAATATTAAGGTCATTCTCTTATATTTGGTTGGATTTACTTAGATATAGTTTGCCCTTTCCAAAGAGTAGTTTGTATCTTATTTTTAGTTGTCTGACTTTTAAGTGCAGCGTTTTTTGTTTTGGACCTAAATGTAAATTTTTGTAACATTGTCTAAAGTTATGTTGTTATTATGTTGTTATGTGTTATGTTGTTTTTCCTTTAGATGTTATCTATTGCTTAAAAGCTATTTCTTATTGAGTTACTATTTTATATTACCTAAAAGGAGTTTTATCTACGTACAAGAACATAGTTTAACTTTTAAACTCAATGAAACGTTTTTGACGAAGTTTACAACCTGTCATCAGAGAACGTACGAAAAAGAAAACATGTAAGCTAAAATTCTCCCATAACTTAACAGACTGATTCTCACTTAGTTTCTTTCTGTGCAAAATTTGTGTTTCTTCGATATAAAAAATGTATGTCGAGAGTATGAGTAGTTATACTGTGCTACCAGGAGCCATCGCAATCAGTATAGATCTTTCAAATATTTTATGATTGATTATCGTATAATTATAAGTATAACAAGTAAATTAAAAAAAAACATCTTTTATCTCTAGCGATTGATGCTAAAATGTTTGTCTAATCTCGCTGTATTTGAGATAATTTAAGGTTGGTTTGTTCTATACAAGCACGTTAATTAGAAAATTACTAATTCTTTATTAAAAATTACAATACGCACAAACAAATATAGCCATAAACGAACGAATACTGTAGGATGTATTATAATTATTAACTTCATATTAATTATATAGTAAATATAAAGATCACGCAATGATATTGAGGTTATGTGATGTACAACTAGGAAAAATACAAGAGTTTGTTTATTTTGAATTTCGTGCAAAGCTACACGAGGGCTAACTGTGCTAGCCGTCCCTAATTTAGTAGTGTAAGACTAGAGGGAAGGCAGCTAGTCATCACCACCCACCGCCAACTCTTGGGCTACTCTTTTACCAAAGAATAGTGGGATTGACCGTCACATTATAGCGCTCTCAAGGCTGAAAGGACGAGCATGTTTGGTGGGACAGGGATTCGAACCCTTGACCCTCAGATTGCGAGTCGAGCTTCCTAACCACCTGGACATACCGGGCCTTGTTTGTTTGAAGTTAAGCACAATGGTCTATCTGTGCTCTGCCCACCATGGGTATCGAAACTCGGTTTCTAGCGTTGGAAGTCCGCAGATATATTGCTTCCACCTTAGCCAACATAAAAAAAATATGGTATAGCCAAGAAATTGTTTTTCAGGTTAGTTATACCTCTTTCTACCACAAATGCCACAAAAATCAGGATACAACTAAATGTGTTCAACCAAAAGATACCCTTTCTTGTATACTAACCTGTATATTTACCTACAAAAACATTGTAAACTCCAATCATTTATTAGTGATTAATTTTCTAATTAGGCACCACGCATGTGAAAGATAATTTATTATTCAGGATATCTATGAGAAAAAAATTATAATTACATTTACATACGTATACCACTCAAAAGTTACTCTAACGATTGCGAACAAATAATATGCTCAGTTTTGTTCATAATTAGAATAAATAAAAGATTCCTGTTGAATATTGTTCCCCTGCTTTAAATAATAATGTACTTTTTCGTTGTTTCTTTCTTCGCTTTTATAATATTTTTTGTTAGTTCGTTGTGACAATATGCTGGAATGTAAGACTTCTTTAAAATGTAAGAACGCAAGCACTAACACGACGGTTGTTACATCACTGTAAAACATGAATTTGTAAAATGCGTCGATAGTAAAATCAAAACATCTTGGCCTTGCTTCTTACTCCAGTTGCTTACATTTGAACGCATAAAATTTAGGAATCCACATTTATTGGTTAGATAAAAATTACCCCATCTTGTTCACTGGAAGTGTCGGAAACTACTTTTCTCTAGGTACTCTATGCAATACTATTAATCTCTTCCTATTAGTCTACTAACTCTCGGTCAAGAGTTTAATAAAGTAGAATATTAGTTAGAAAATGCATGGTTGTGATGGATTCCAAATTTCAAAAAACATCATCAAGATGCGGACGTTACCACAATAAATAAATAAAGACATTCCGAAGGAATCATACCAAAGAACTCACACATGGTGTTTCTGACTTGATAAATATTATATATATGCAGCTGCTGCTGCATCAACTAGCATCCCTGACGTCAAAAATAATTATTTCCAGGTACGTGACGTAAATGCAAGTATTTTAACACAGTCAAAAGGAGCGTTGATGCATTATAGACAAGACCTCGTAACGAAGTTTGAGAACGTTGAAAGCATCAAATGATGGAAATCAAACATATATGACCAAACAGAAATAAAAACTTCGTTCTTGCCACGGTTAGCCCGATGCACATGGTCTTGTAATCAACTCATAGATGCAGAGATACTGTTTCAACAAGATCAATGCTGTGACAAACATTTTACAGGAAGAAAAAATGGCTTTCATATTGTTATCCGTGTAAAAACAGAAAAAAGTCCACAAATATCTGCGCTAATGGTAATAGACAAAACGTACTTTCATGATAGAACTCTATTCAGAGCCTTATAAGGTTATTATGACTAAGAAATGACATAACACCATAAACCATCATAACTTTAGCTTATCGTAACTATTTCTAACTGATGCACATTATAAATATGTGCTTTGAATTTTGAAATGTCATTACATATATTTTTGTGTTTTCGTAATCTCATGCAATGTTATATCTACAGAAAGATCTGAAAATAATTAACTACCAGTAATTTAAAGCCATTAGTCATAAAAAAAGGGCACATCATCAAAGCAATACTTGATCCACGCAAGATATCAATAGCATATTTTTTAGGAAATTTTCCTACCCTTTATTTGTTTATTTTATTTATT